TTCCCCATTCACCAGCGTAAATGGATTCATCTCCAGAAAGCTGAAGTCAAGATCTGCAGCCAACAGAAAAGATCAGCATAGATACTAACACAAGGTACGCTTAAAGAACTATAAATAATTGACAAAAGCAAAGAATACTGTAAAAATAGAAACCTCTGTCTCATATAAAAGAGATGATGAATTCAAAGATCATAGTGACAGTTATTTAACATGTTTGTGATTTAGCAATCTGGCATTTAAGATATTTCTTAGAATCAGGTGAATGAAACAAGGAGCCTCGAATCTGAAACCATGAATAGTAAGTACCCTGAAAGACAGAGAAGACACCTATGATGAAGTCACCAATCTTCCCTCGAACCTACATGATGCATTCAAAGAATGAGCACCAGCTAGATAAATATAACGCAATGTAGCAAAAAAGATTAAAACCAGTAATAGATATAATATGTTGCAAGTTACAATCACCAAACATAGATCTGAAAGATAGAAGAATAAACTCTAAACAGATGGCGCTAAACTTTAGAAGGAAATAAAAAACTTGGAAAATACTAATGAAACCCACTTCCAAAGGGAGTGTAGCTATCAATGGCGCACATGTCTCCAGGGTCATAGGTTTCTCAGTTGGGAGGAAAATGGTCTTAACCTGCAGAAACCACAGATGAAATACATGTCACCTTTTTAAGTGATCACATATTCAACAAATGATGAAAGAATGGAATCAGAAGAAACAACAAAAACAATGGGCAACAAACCTTATCCCAATTCTCTTCAATTTCAATACCTCCACATTCTGAAAAGCTAATGGTTGAACCAAGCCTCTCAGAGACTATAGAAAGGTAATACTCTTGTTCGTGGGGAACGAAAGGTTCAACAATGAATGTGGTTATAGGAGCTTTACACCCACCCATTTCAACCTAACAAAAGGAAAAAAAAAACTAAAGGATTCAAGTCATGAATGAGTAAAATGGTGAGAAACACTTGAAGGTAAGATTGGTATGTGAACCTCAACGCCAAGGCGTGCGTTGACGAATTCAGCAACTTGAGCAAGATCCAAATTTAATGCAACCAAGCCACTCTTTCCACGCTTCCCAAACAACATATCGGGCTTCACAACCAATCTGGTGGATGAAAGCCAGGGTTCATTGTTGGTCAAGTCAGTGAAATCAGTTAATTCTGTCACCTAAAATCAAACAGCAGAGTGTTCAGAATCCGATTCAGTCCCTCGAATTTTCCAACGATTCCTTCCGACATGCAAATAATTGAAATAGTTAAAGCGAAGCGTATTAAAATAATCCTAGCAATGTTCGAACAGTGATTTCGATATATACATAGACATATCAGCTGGTGAGCAAGAATCGGTAAAAGGATGATGAAAACAGAGTAGGAAGAGAAGGACATGGAAACTTCCGCACAGAAGAAGGATCGAAGGAAAAAAAAACCTGAGCAGAGCAGATCTGGAGATGGATGTTGGCGAGGCGTTTGAGGTGCTCTTTCAGAAGCCTCTTGGAATCGTACTCCCTGATCTTCTTGCGAGCCATTTTCGATCCTCGAATATCTGCAACAAGGAACAGAACGAAACAGGAGCAAGCTCAGTGTGGCGAGAATCAGCAGTGTAATTATAAGAAAAAGAGAGGAATCGGTTCGCTTGGAGTAGAAGAAGAGTAGGCTCACCAAACACCTAACACCAAACAGACAGAGCTACTCAATGACAGAAATGAGAGAGAGGAAGAGGCGGAGACAAGGGGGGTTGGTTCGTTGGGGGATGAAATCATCCGAGATGTCGTCCGTTTGGATTTCGGAGCCGGTGCGCCCTAACACTCCCCATCTATCTGCCCATTTAATTCCAAATTTGTCCCCGTCACCTAACAACGTAAAATCCACATTAATTCTTACACTATTATTATTATTATTATTATTATTTATACGAATTTTTACATAAATTTTAAGACAAAAATATTTATTTCCTAGTAAACAAATTGAGCTTAATTCAGACTTTATTATTTTAATGTTATTACAAATTTGAGAGAAAAAGGTATTTCTAACAAGGAGATAATATACCAAATACAGAAACATATTTGTGGAGTTGAAATTATCAATAAATAAATAGTATTAATCTAAAATTGTAAGCAAGGAAGGGTAGTTTAGGGAAGGAAAGGTAGTTGAGGTGACCGAGGGAAGAGCGTTGTCAGCATGTGCGGTGCATGACAAAAGGATAAATTTGACAAATATATTTATTAAAATAAATGTCTGTCTGTCTTTTGCTCTTCGTTCTTCAATCTTCTTCTATGTGTAAGTTCATCTTCATTTGTCATTATGAATCTCTCTTCAGTAAAGGTTTCTGTGGATTGAGTCTACTTGATGTCTCCAAAATTTAAATACAAATTTAAAGTTCCAATTTCGGCCTGATTTAATCTAATCATTTATGTTAAATTTATTATATTTTAAAATTAAAACTATAATATCTCTAGCTCAAATCAAGTAGACCACAAACCTAACAAATCATGTCAACTTCTATTCTCATCATTTAATTCATAAATAACTTGATTTATATGAATTAAAAATACGTAAAATACTCTAACTCTTTTAAATTTTGAACAAGTTCATTAGTATTGAAAATATTCTTAAATTTTTTTTAAGAGATACATAAGTCTAACAGTTAATTAATTATTAATATTTTTGTTAATTTGATGATATGATAATATTTTTAAAATAATTTTACTTTTTATTAATTTTAAAAATTATCACTATATAAATATTATTTTTTATTTTTTTCTCTTATATTCAAAAAAAAAATTCTATCTACTAATTAATAATGTCGCAAATTGATCTAGTTAAGGAGCACTAGATTAGACCAGATGACTGACATTCCTCAATAGATCACCATCAAATCTAGCATTCCATGATCAAATTCAATCGTAAGGTGGTTGGTCGGTGTAAGGGAGTGTCGTTAATCGACTTGAAAAAAAAATAATTAAAAAAGAAAGAAGACATTTTAGATATTTCACATTTAGGTGTTATTATTGCTCACACTTTTAGAGTAGAATGTTTATTTTGAAAACTAATAAATTTAAACGAAATTATGATCAAAATTCACAAAAGTCAAAATATTTTACCCTAAAAAAATACTTTTAATAAAATCATTCTCGATTTGACTATCCAATATAGAGTTTTTCTCGACAAATTTAATTTGAAATCATATTTTAGATATCATTAAGCAATATAGTATTACAGTGTACATGTATGTTATAAATGTAGTAGTCATTGTGCCATGTGCATGTACTCTTTTGCACCTTATGAATATTCTTGTCGGGCATGCTTAAGTATACATATCTTATGCATGTAGACCATGTCGTATCTCGCGGGTTATCTTGCTATAATGAGCCAAGTACATAATATAAACTCTCTAATAATAAAAATGTATACTCTGATTATCGAATAAGACTGTGTTTTTAACATATTACTTATTATTATAAGAATAAACTTCACTTGTATCATTTGTCCTTTTAATTAGATATTTATATCAAACTCTCGAGATATTTTTTCTTTCTCAATTAACACTTCAGAAATAATTTTTATTCTCAGAAAATGTCAAACTGATAATTTTTGTTTAATAATTTTGTTCTCAGAAAATGTCAAACCGACTTAATTGTAAGGCGTTTGGTTGGTGTAAGTAAGTATCACTAGTGACTTGAGAAAAACAACTAGTTAAAAAAGAAAAAAAAATTTAAATATTTCACGTCTAAGTATTATTGTCGTTTACACTTTTTGAACAGAATGTTCATTTTAAAAATTAATAAACTCACGCGAAATTATGATCAAAATTCAAAAAAGTCAAAGTATTTTACCTAAAAAAATACTTCTAATGAAATCATTTTCGATTTAACTATCCAATATAAAGTTTTTCTCAACAAATTTAATTTGAAATCATAATTTAGATATCATTAAGCAATATAGTATTACAGTGTACGTGTATGTAATGAATGTAGTAGTCATTGTACCATGTGCATGTACTCTTTTGCACCTTATGAATATACTTGTGGAACATAACTAAGTATACATATCTTATGCATGTAGACCATGTCGTATCTCGCGGATTATCTAGCTAAAATGAGGCAAGTACATAATATAGTCCTATACTGGACTCTCTAATAATAAAAAAGTATACTTTGATTATCCAATAAGACTATTTTTTAATAATTACTTATTATTATAAGAATAAATTTCTCTTGTATCTTTTGTCCTTTTAATTAGATATTTATATTAAACTCTCAGCATATTTTTTCTTCCTCAATTAACACCTTAAAAATAATTTTGGTTCTCAGAAAATGTCAAACCGATAATTTTGTTTAATAAAATTACATAGTTTTTTAAATTTTTAATGAATGAAACTTAACCTTATATTATTATGGAATAAAGATAATACTAGTACTAGTTAGTACTAAAAAACAATCTTCCCTTAAACTTGGGGACAAAAGCCAATCCTGAGGCGTATATATTAACACAGTAAGCCTCCTTCCCGCCACATTTGATGTGTCAGAATCTAGTTCCCGCCCATTTCCTGTAATCACAAACAGCAGTTTCAGCAACTGTACGACGAAACGACAACGTCTAGCTTAAGCGAACCCCTAACGGCGCCGTTTGGATGAGAACGGTATTCCCCTCATTAAGTCCCGCCTAGACCATGGTTTATATAAAAGAAATGAAATTCCGGTTATCCCCAGCAAGTGCGAAACGCTATTTGTCAAAAGTACCCCCCAGTAATGGCCCTAATGACTTACGTTGCAGCCGCTATTATGGGGGAATTTTGCGCCATCAATTGTCCTTCCCGTCAAACAAAGAAGCATTATCGGATCCACGTCAACAATGACAATTTCGTAACTTCGACGCAGAAAGGTAGTGGCATCTATCGTAAAATTTTTGAACCTTCAGGCCCCAATTTGTAGTCGATCGACCTATATAAGGTAAGCAGCCTCGAGGCTTCTCCTAATCGAAAAATAAACAGCACTCCCTCTCTTTTCTCCCTTCTCCCCTTCCATTTTTCCACTCATTTTTATTCCCAGATTTTCCTTTTATTTAATCTTCGATTTGCGAAATCGAAAGGAAAATTCCCCCAAAATTTCCTCTTTGTTCTTCGCCGCTCAATCTTAGCTTCTGTTAGCTTTCGTAAGACCTTTTGTTTATTTTTTTAAACGGCAACAGGTTTTCGACTCTGATATTTCTGCTGCTCTCTTCGAAACCCTAACCCTAGTTTCGCATTCCCCTAGTTAGTGCGAGGCCGCCGCAGAGGCGAGAAGACTAATTCGCCTCCGAAGCTTGGGGGTTCTCCGTCTGAAAAATTGCAGGAGATTGTCTGCAGAGTTGGAGATGTGAGTTTTCTCATTATGTTCCTTCCATCTTTAGCGGGTTTTTTCAAGTATTTGGCACGGTTTGAAACCCTAATTTGGCTTTGAATATGAGTTTCATATGATGGCTAGTTCAAGTGCTTGACAGATTCGGAATGATGTCTTGGAGATGTAAACCTAGGTTTTACGTGTTTTCTAGTATTAGTTTGTGGAACTCAAGCTTAATCCAACTTAAAATAGGTGGTTTTTAATCTGAGTTTGTTGAATGCTTATTTATGAAGAGTGAAAAATGTTGCTGTATTGCACTTGTTTCTTTGATTTAAGTAGTTTCTGAAGTGTTTTAAGGTTCCTATAATGCTAGCCAAGCCCTAAATTTAAGTTTTAGGAAATTGGTCTTGAACTGTTAGGTAGACATTTCCCTCCTTTTTGCGGTTACATCTTATTCCTTTATCATCTTTAATTATTGGTTAATACTAACCCCACTTAATTGTGCAGAATAGCTGCTAAATGGCTGATCATCGGAACGCAAATGGCCAGCCTCCAAATGGGACAGCTACTGGATCAGGAAGTATTTACTCTATCAATCTGGAAAACTTCAGCAAACGTTTGAAGGCGTTGTATTCACATTGGAATGAACACAAATCTGAGCTCTGGGGTTCTTCTGATGTCCTTGCAGTAGCAACACCACCACCTTCAGAAGATCTGCGTTACCTGAAATCATCAGCTCTAAACATTTGGTTGTTGGGTTATGAGTTTCCAGAGACAATAATGGTTTTCACAAAGAAGCAGGTTCATTTCTTGTGTAGCCAGAAGAAGGCTTCTCTGCTTGAAGTTGTGAAGAAATCTGCTAAGGAGGCTGTAGGGGTAGATGTTGTGATGCATGTTAAGGCAAAGAGTGATGATGGAACTGCATTGATGGATGCTATATTTCGGTCCATCCGAGCACAATACAAGGGAGTTGAAAATGATGCTCCTGTTTTTGGTTACATTGCACGAGAGGCTCTTGAAGGGAAGCTTTTGGAGACATGGGCTGAAAAACTAAAAAGTGCAACATTTCAGCTTACGGATGTAACCAATGGGTTGTCTGACCTGTTTGCTGTGAAGGATAAAGAAGAGCTTATGAATGTAAAGAAAGCTGCTTACTTAAGTTACAATGTGATGAACAATGTTGTGGTTCCAAAGCTTGAGAATGTGATTGATGAGGAAAAGAAAATCACCCATGCTACCTTGATGGATGAAACAGAGAAAGCCATAGTGAATCCACAGCTGGCCAAAGTAAAGCTCAAACCAGAGAATGTTGATATTTGTTACCCTCCCATATTTCAAAGTGGGGGTGAGTTTGATCTCAGACCTAGTGCTGCAAGTAATGAACAGAATCTGTACTATGATTCGGCCAGTGTTATCTTATGTGCAGTTGGAGCTCGCTACAGCAGTTATTGCTCAAATATTGCTAGGACTTTCTTGATTGATGCCAGTCCACTTCAGAGCAAGGCCTATGAGGTTCTTCTTAAGGCCCATGAAGCTGCAATTGGAATGTTGAAATCTGGGCGCAAAATTAGTGCTGTATATCTAGCAGCACTTTCAGTTGTTGAGAAGGATGCTCCTGACTTGATTCCGAATCTTACCAAATCTGCTGGGACAGGAATTGGTCTTGAGTTTCGTGAGTCAGGGCTTAATCTCAATGCGAAGAATGATCGTGTGGTGAAAGCAGGAATGGTTTTCAATGTGTCACTTGGTTTTCAGAACTTGCAGTGTGAGAGTAATAAGTCAAAGAACAGGAATTTTTCTCTGTTGCTTGCTGATACAGTTATTGTTGGTGAACAAAATGAGGAAGTGGTGACTGGAAAAAGTTCCAAGGCTGTCAAGGATGTGGCTTACTCATTCAATGAGGATGAGGAAGAAGAGGAAAATTCAGTGAAGGCTGAAACTAATGGCTCTGACACCTTCATGTCTAAGACAGTGCTCAGGTCAGATAATCATGAGATCTCTAAGGAGGAGTTAAGGAGGCAGCACCAAGCAGAACTTGCTCGTCAGAAGAATGAAGAAACAGCTAGGCGGCTTGCTGGTGGAAGTGGGACTGGAGATAATCGATCAGTTGCAAAGACTTCAGCTGATTTGATTGCTTATAAGAATGTCAATGACTTGCCCTCTCCGAGAGATTTTATGATTCAAATTGACCAAAAGAATGAGGCTGTACTCTTGCCAATATATGGTAGTATGGTCCCTTTCCATGTGGCTACTGTGAGGACAGTTTCCAGCCAGCAGGATACCAATCGAAATTGCTTTATCCGGATTATATTTAATGTTCCAGGGACCCCTTTTAGTCCCCATGATTCAAACTCTTTAAAGAATCAAGGGGCAATATATCTAAAGGAAGTCTCATTTCGCTCCAAGGATCCAAGGCACATAAGTGAAGTGGTACAGCAGATTAAAACACTTCGTCGGCATGTTGTGGCCAGGGAGTCTGAGAAAGCGGAGAGGGCAACCTTGGTTACTCAGGAGAAACTCCAACTTGCAGGGAACAGGTTCAAGCCAATAAGGTTGTTTGACCTTTGGATTCGTCCTCCTTTTGGTGGTCGTGGGAGAAAGATTCCTGGAACACTTGAAGTTCATGTTAATGGTTTTCGATATTCTACTTCTAGAGCTGACGAGCGTGTGGACATTATGTTCGGAAACATAAAGCACGCATTCTTCCAGCCTGCAGAGAAAGAGATGATCACTCTCCTTCACTTTCACCTGCACAATCACATAATGGTGGGAAACAAAAAAACTAAGGATGTGCAATTTTATGTTGAGGTTATGGATGTTGTCCAGACATTGGGAGGGGGAAAGAGGTCTGCCTATGATCCAGATGAGATTGAAGAAGAGCAAAGGGAGAGGGATAGGAAGAATAAGATCAACATGGACTTTCAGAGTTTTGTGAATCGGGTGAATGATCTGTGGGGGCAGCCTCAGTTTAATGGCCTAGATCTTGAGTTTGATCAGCCTCTTAGGGAACTTGGCTTCCATGGGGTCCCTTACAAAGCCTCAGCTTTTATTGTGCCGACTTCAAGCTGTCTGGTTGAGCTGGTAGAGACTCCTTTCCTTGTGGTTACCTTAAGTGAGATTGAGATTGTGAACCTTGAGAGAGTTGGCCTTGGGCAGAAAAACTTTGACATGACCATTGTGTTTAAGGACTTCAAGCGAGATGTACTTAGGATTGACTCCATTCCTTCAACCTCACTTGATGGTATCAAGGAGTGGCTTGACACTACAGACCTGAAGTATTATGAGAGCAGGCTGAATCTGAATTGGCGGCAGATTTTGAAGACAATTACTGATGATCCGCAGAGCTTCATAGAAAATGGGGGTTGGGAATTTTTGAACTTGGAAGCTAGTGATTCAGATTCTGAGAACTCAGAGGATTCAGATCAGGGTTATGAGCCATCTGATATAGAGCCTGAATCTGAGTCAGAGGATGATGACTCTGATAGCGAGTCACTGGTTGAATCTGAGGACGAAGAGGAGGAAGATTCTGAGGAAGACTCAGAAGAAGAGAAGGGAAAGACATGGGAGGAGTTGGAGAGGGAAGCAAGCAATGCAGACAGGGAGAAAGGGCATGAATCGGATAGTGAAGAGGATAGGAGGAGAAGGAAAATGAAGACTTTTGGGAAATCACGAGCTCCTCCTAGTAGTGCTATTCGCAAACGTTCCAAGCTACGATAGATGTGATAGTTTTTTTTTTTTTTTCACATGGTCAGTTTATTTTTAATGTTAAACATGATTTTAGTAGCAGCTGGTGCTTTAGAAGAATATAGTTTTCTAACATAGCTCTGAACTGTATTAGGATCTTGTTCCTTTGTCTTAATCGGTTAGGCACTAAGTTGGATTGTCTGGAGGCAAGATTTTGGTTGTAAATTGGTGGCATCAGTTCAATGGAAGTAAAAGTTTATTATTTCGTCTGTTTATGTTCCTCTGTTGGATTTTTGCTCTGTTTTTCAAGTTTATGGGACTGGATTTATGAATCAGTGTGCCGTATTACTTGTTCTAAGAAGTGCTTCACATCTTGGGATGCTTTGTTTCGGCTTTAGAGTGTGTGTGTGGTTGCCACTTAACAGTTATTTGAATGTCAAAAAAATGAGGTTTTCTTTTTCTTTTTTTTTTATTAACTTCATCTATACATTTACCATGTTTTGGATGAGATGACCAATGGTTTAGACAGTTCTACTCCTTTTCAGATTGTTGTTAATCTTCAGCAGCTAGAGCATATCACAGTGCAACTTTACTGGTTTCACTTCTTCAGCCAGCTCCAGAAACATTTGATCTCTTTGATGACATTATTTTGATGGCCAAGGGAGGATAGTGTATCATTGTCTGTGTGATAATCTTCCAGAATTTTTTGAGGATTGTGGGTTTAGGTGTCCTGAAAGGAAAGTGGTCGCGGACTTCATCCAGGAGGTAGGTGTCTGCTGTTTCTAGCCATTGCCTTCACATGCTCTAATTTAATCAGGTTTAAGAACTTCATTAATTTGATTGTTGATCTTGCTGGTTACATCTAAAAAGGATCAAGCAAGTAGTGGCACTACACTGAATTACCGTATAGTATTTTTCAGTGGGTACGTTTACTAGGAAATTCAAAGAATCCAGTCCGAGAAAGAAGCTTGATGAGGACCTATCGGTGCCATATTATAAATCACCATAGCCACATGAATGCCCTGTCCTTTAGCCAATATTCCATTCTGAGTGGGAATTGCTTAGAGCTTGCATGTCTAAAGAAATTCTTGTGTTTACGTTTTCAAAACAAGTCAGGCTGCATCCTTTCATAGTTATCCCCCGTTCCTCATTTTCTCTTTGAATGAAGTGGATATCACTTGGTGCTTTTTTTAGATTCAGCATAGTTTTCAACATTAGCTTTACCTTGGCCTTGAGTTTTGTCAAGTGTAAGTACATCCTTCTTTGTCTTTTACTTGTTATCGCCTTGAGAGTGATTGGATGTATAACATGCTTGTTCACCTAATTAAATGCATATTCAGCTCCTGGCTGCATCTTCTTGTGCCATTATTTCGCATGAAAAAGCTTTCTTGGATGCGAGGAAGAGAAGATTCCTGCGATGGTGCACTCGAGGAAGAAAAGGGTAGGGATTCTCCCACTAATATCAAAGTGAAGAAGCAAAGGTTGGCTTCTTTTCCTTTATTTTGTGCTGTTCTTTAGCTTGGCATGCTTCCAAAATTCTTTTGGTGATAAATGTTTCCAAATTTTGCAAATTAGTCATTTGTCATGACCGGGATGATTGCATTACGGTTGTTTGTAGTTGAGGGAAGGAAGAAAGAGAGATATTATTCAGTAGCCTTTAAAACTTAATGTTTTAAGCAAGCAAATTAGAACTGTTTCTGATATGCTGAAATACTGATATGGTGAAAAGCATCTACCGGCTGGCATAAAAAATTTAGTGAGTGGATGCTGGTCAGTCTGTTTTCACCTTGTCCCACGACGAGGCAGTCAGGTTGCTTATGCATTAGCGAATAACCTAATGACTTTTGCCTAATACCTTTTGTCTGGTTGCTAAATTCATAAAACTATGAAGATGGAATGAAAAGGAGAGCCAAGTGAGATGCATCTATGATTACATGTAAAACCTCCATAATTTTTATCTCAACTATTTTACATTTTAAGAGTTCATAAGAAGTTGACTGAACACACGTACAGAAGATAGAAAGCAATAACTAAAAACCTGGATTAAAGTATGCTACAACCAAACTTAAAAGCAACTACTAGCATTCAATATGACTACCATCTTTTACTAGGTTGCTGATACTTCCACATGGTTTTCAAAAGGATGTCACCTCAATTTGGCCCTCTTCGAAAGGCTGCCACCGGGATTTCTCTTATCAGGTATCCGACCCTTACCAAAAGCTTTCATCTTTCTCCTCTTCCTTTCTTCCTCACTGTCAGAATCATCTCCTTTCTCTCTGTCTGCATAGCTTGCTTCCCTCTCCAACTCTTCCCATGTCTTTCCTTCATCTTCTTCTGAGTCTTCATCTGAGTCTTCTTCCTCATCATCTTCAGATTCAACCAATGATTCACTGTCATCATCCTCATCATCTGATCCTGAGTCAGACTGCACATCTGAAGGCTCATACCCTTGGTCAGACTCTTCTGAGTTCTCAGACTCAGAATCGCTGACTTCCATGTTTAAAAATTCCCATCCACCATCTTCAATGAATTTTTCTGGATCATCAGTAATAGTTTTCAGTATAGGGCGCCAGTTCAAATTTAGTCTGCTCTCATAATACTTGAGGTCAGTGGTATTAAGCCACTCTTTGATGCCATCTAGTGATGTGGAAGGAATTGAGTCAATCCGAAGGACATCCCGCTTGAAGTCCTTGAATACAATAGTCATATCAAAATTCTTTTGCCCAAGACCAACTCTTTCAAGGTTAACTATCTCGATCTCACTTAGGGTGATCACCACAAAAGGTGTCTCTATTAGCTCAACCAGGCAGTTTGACGTTGGCACTATGAATGCAGATGCTTTATGGGGAACCCCATGGAAGCCAAGCTCTCTCATGGGCTGATCAAATTCAAGGTCAAGAGCTTTAAATTGGGGCTGCCCCCACAAATCATTAACTCGGTTCACAAAGTTCTGGAAGTCCATGTTAATTTTATTCTTTCGGTCCCGCTCACGTTGCTCTTCCTCAATCTCATCAGGGTCATAGGCAGATCTCTTTCCACCTCCCAATGTCTGAACTATATCCATCACCTCAATATAAAATTGCACATCCTTGGTTTTCTTATTACCAACCATGATGTGATTATGCAAATGAAAGTGCACAAGAGTAATCATTTCCCGCTCTGCTGGCTGGAAGAAGGCATGCTTGATGTTTCCAAACATTACATCAACACGTTCATCAGGCCTTGAAGTAGAATACCTAAATCCGTTCGTGTGAGATTCTAGTGAACCTGTCAGCTTTCTACCACGACCACCAAAAGGGGGACGAATCCATAGATCGTGCAACTTAATTGGCTTGAACTTGGCTGACGCAAGCTGCAGCCTCTCTTGACTAACTAAGGTAGCCCTCTCAGCCCTTTCGGACTCTCTTGAATTAACTTGCCGGCGGAGTGTTTTAATCTGCTGTACAACTTCAATGATATGCCTTGAGTCCTTGGAGCGGAATGAAACCTCTTTCAAGTATATTGATCCTTGAAACTTGAGAGAATTTGCATCGTGCGGACTGAAAGGAGTGCCAGGTACATTAAATATTATCCTGATGTAGCTAGTACGGTTACTGTCCTGTTGGCTGGACACACTCTTCACTGTAGCCACATGAAAAGGGACCATGCTTCCATAAATTGGTAAGAGGATAGCTTCATTCTTCTGGTCGACCTGAATCATTAAATCCCTAGGAGAGGGCAGATCATTAACATTTTTATATGCAATTAAATCACCAACAGTCTTCACTGCACCACGATTATCTGCTGCCACAGCACCCCCACCGGCAAGTCGCCTTGCAGTTTCTTCATTCTTCTGGCGAGCAAGTTCAGCCTGATGCTGCCTACGTAGCTCCTCTTTAGACATTTCATGGTTGTCTGACCTGAGTGTTGTCTTGGAGAATAAGGTCTCATTACCATTATCATCAGCTTTAACCTTTAACTTCTCTTCTTCTTCATCATCTTCATTGAATGAGTACGCAACATCTTTGACAGCTTTAGAGCTTTTAGAAGTCAAAATATCTGGTACCTTCTCACCAACAATGACGGTATCTGCAAGCAACACTGAGTATTTCTGAGTCTTGGGGTTCTTCGTCTCTGTTTGCAAGTTCTGAAAACCAAGTGACACATTGAATACCATCCCTGGCTTCAAGACTCGATCATTCTTGGCATTAAGACTAAGCCCTGACTCACGAAACTCAAGTCCTATTCCAGTTCCTGCAGTTTTGGTCAAATTTGCAGCTAATTCAGGAGCATCCTTCTCTACTACTGAGACTGCTGCTTGATAAACAGAGCTCAACTTGTTGCCTGATTTTAAAGCATCAATGGCTGCTTCTTGAGCTTTAAGGAGAACCTCATAAGCCTTGCTTTGTAAGGAATTGGCATCAATCAGAAAAGTTCGAGCAATATTGGAGCAGTAGCTGTTGTATCGAGACCCAAGTGCACATATAATTACACTGGTAGAGTCATAGTAAAGGTTCTCATCATTGCTTGAAGCACTTGGTTTTAGATCAAACTCCCCTCCACTCTGAAAAATAGGAGGGTAACAAATATCAATGTTCTCTGCCTTCAATTTCACCTTAATTCGAGCTGGTTCTAGTATAGTCTTCTCTGTATCATCCATCAGTGCAGAGTGGGAAACCTTCCTCTCCTCATCAATAACCTTCTCAAGTTTGGGCACCACAAATTGCCTCATAACCGATGAAGTCAAGAATGCAGCCTTCTTCACATTTGTAAGCTCAGTTTCATCTTTGACAGCAAACAAGTCTGAGAACCCATTTGTTACATCACTAAGTTCAAATTTTGCATTCTTTAATTTCTCATCCCATGTCTCCAAAAACTTTCCCTCAGGTGTCTCTCTTGATATGTGACCGACAACAGGTACAGCATGATCACCAGAGTTTGTCTGAGAATAGATAGCTCGAAAAATGCTATCCATTAGACCAGTTCCATCATCACCTTTTGCCTTCACATGAATAACAACCTCAACACCGACAGCTTCTCTGGCAGACTTCTTCACAACATCAAGCAAAGAGGCCTTTTTCTGGCTACACAAGAAATGGATCTGTTTCTTCAAGAAAACCATAATGGTTTCTGGGAATTCATAGCCAACCAACCAAATATTTAGCGCTGAGGATTTCAGGTACCTCAGATCCTCAGAAACAGGAGGAGTTGCTATGACAAGAGCACTCGAAGCACCCCACAGATCAGCATTGTGTTTATTCCAATGTGAATATAAAATTTTCAACCGCTTACTGAAGTTATCCAGGTTGATGGCATATGGGTTGGCGGCCGGAGGTGGCTTGCCATTTGCAGGCTTGACATTCCTATTCCGGCTTTCAGCCATGGAGAATTACTCAAATACCAAACTTGAATCCTAGAGAGTTTAGCTTGTTGAGTATGACAATCAGCATAAACTGTGATAAACAACAAATAATTATCAGTTCCCATCTCCTTCTCCATTTGGCAATAGTTCAACCTGAATAGATTTTTCCCAATTAGCAATATGATACATGCACTTAGAAGTAACCAAACATCACTATCTCCATAGTCAAAAGCTTCATCTATGAATCCATTAAACACAAGTCTAAGCCAACTAGTTAAAATCAAATAAAAATGCCAGCTTTAGAGGGTTCTTTTGGGCACTAAATAGAGCAATCCAATAAAACTTACAGTTGCCTGTTTCCCCTTGAGCAGAAGCAGCAGCAGCCTGATACACCCGTATGAATCCTGATGCAACAAATTCCATCATATTAACTTTGAATTCACTTAAAACACCACAATCACAGAACCGAAATTCAAACTCATAATCCTCTCAATGAACCCAAACTCACCTCCACGAGAAAGGCCAAAGCTGCTTTGGTTTAGCAAATCCTCAAACTTTCTGATAAGAAAAACCTAAATTCCGAAACCCATTGATCAGATTTCCAACATAAAGCCGTTGATCCTTGGTTTCACTGTCCACAAAGACCAAAAAGAAACATAAGTTTTTGAAAGGAAGAAGCAGTCACGCACATAGCAATAAGATTGGGAACGTAAAGGCGATTACTTGGAGGCGAACAATCTCCCCACGATACCATCCCAGTGAATCAGGAAGACACCCAAAGCAAAACAGAGGAGAAGGGAAAATTTGATCTGTTTTAGATTTAGATAGATGATCAAGTTGGATCGGATGGGTGGGTTTGAGAGAGAATGGATCAGATTGAAAAGACCATTTTGAGGATAGGAATAGGCATGGAACAGAGTAATAAGAGAAACAGAGAAGGAGAAGATAATGGCAATGGTGAAAGAGATGGAGAAGGAAAGCAACGAAGAATCATATGATATTTGTTGAAAATGGAAAACAGGCTTTATATGTCTCCAGGGTCCGGCTTCCCTTGAGTCACCTCCTCTGCTTTCCTTTTACTTGCTTAGGTCAACACCATTTTTATCCTTAGGTTAAATATTTTCTACCGTGAATTTCACCTCAACCCTTTTTCTTCTCTGATTTTACATGCATTAATTATTTATATACATACCATAATATACATCGTGTGACACATAGGTTCCATGTTTAGAAGAATCGATTTTTATCCGAAAATCTATTAGTAATTGATTTGTTATATATATATATATATATATATATAATAATGATAGATTAATTAATAATCATAAAATGAAATTACTTTAGGATGAGTAAAAATTTGAAAGCATTTATCATCATCAAATTAGTTGTTTTTGTCAGTGGTATGGTTTATAAATTGGACAGACTACATTTAGTACCAGTCCCAGTACTGGCCAGTGTTAGTGTTGGTGTTGGACTTAGATTACCCAACCCAAGCATGGGTTTTGAGCCCAACTTTACTCAAGCAAAAAGCTTCTCTTTTTTTCTTTCTTTAATACTTAACAATTAATTCGAAATAACTTGTGTAAATGACCGATTTATATATCAAGATTCATCTCATCTCTTATTAATATGAAATCTATTTCATCTTTTATTCATATTTATTTTTCTTATAATCACATTACCTATAATAATATTACATTATAAAATATTAAACGTCACATCATATATATGTTAAGTGTTATAAAATTAAAACTTAAGTTCAATTTTGCGTGACCTTACACCCTAAAATTAAAATTTAAAAAAATTTATAAATTATAAATTCACGTTTTTAACTCAAATGACATATTTAATAATAAAGATTCATTTATCTTTTACTTTTACGAAATCTATGATAGAAAATACTAACCTTTTTATTACGAAAAAAGGAAAAAAAAGTTTGAAGAGTCAAAAGAGAGAAAAAACCCAAACGAATATTCAACAATTATTCGTTTGTTTAATTTATTATAAATCCCAAATCAGAAAATAAAGAAAACAAAAGGCCTCCTTGGTCGTTGACTGTCGCAGCGCATAAAAAAATAAAATACTAAAACGGAATAATAAAAGAAAACCAAAATGGAAAGCTCAAATATACAACCACCCAAAATCTTGTACCCATTATTTCCCCTATTTTGCCCTTTTCTCTACGCTACCGCTTAATCCTCTGTGTCGCCTCTGCCTCAACCGCGTCGTTTTTGTTTCAGCTTCCTCTTAGTTTCCTGTTTCAATCCATAGGTATACCATCCTCTGCTTCTCCTTTTTTTTTTTTTTTTGCATTTTTTAATACAGAATTTGTGGTTTTCTTTTTTTTTTTTTGCGTTTTTTCTTTAATTGATTTGGATCGGGTACGATTTTTTGGTGGTCATCAGATTTGGATCTGCAGTTTTTTTTTTCTGTTAGTTCTCAGATTTTTTTGTGGTTGAATTTTATCTTAGAGATCTTTAGTTTTGTATTTTTTTAAAAAAAAATTACTTTTTTGAGTATTATTGAGGAATGGATTGAAGTTTGAAGATGGGTTTTTTGTTGTCTCGATTTCCTTGTATAGATATCTATCTCTCATATCCTCTGTGCTTTTTTCTTTGTTTCTGCATATTTAATGCTCAGTTTTTAAATGGAAAGAACTCTTCTTTGATGCTGGTGTGAACTTGCTTGATGAGTCCATAATGATGAGCTGTATTCATATGCTGGAATCCCCCCCAAACAAGTTGAGAATTCGTGCTTATAATTAATTAAACTGGCTAAACTTTGTTATCTTTTTATGCTTCTTTTTCTTTGGTATTTTAGCTTTTAAGCTGGGTTGGCTCTATTTTTTTTTCTTTTGACTTAATAAGGAAGTTAAGCTAGATATGGACATTTCCTAATTTATACAAGATAAAAGATTTGTGCTTTGATGGACTTAAAAACTGTTGTGCTTGGTTTTTTTTTGGATGATAAAAATGGGCATCTGCTGAATTTTTTATTTTTGAAACCAGCGGAGTGATTGTTTGCAAGCTTGAACTACTACATAGGTCAAAGGGCTTACTTCACTTGATTGTTTTTGAGTATTTTTTGAATTTGTTTGATTTTATAGTTTAACTCTATTGTGTTCTGGTGAAAAAAAATATGGGTTGTGACAAATGATGGAGAAATGAAATATTTCTGTAGCATAATAGTAATTTCTCAGTTGAGTTTATTAATACCTTTTTCCCTTTTTGCATTGCAGATAAATGATTGGCTTTTGAGGTGGAAATTTAACAAGAATAGGACACTCTTTTGTCCTACAGATGGCTTCTGTGGGCATGGCGCCTACTTCTGGTTTAAGAGAATCTAACGCTGCAGGTGTAGATAAGTTACCTGAGGAGATGAATGACATGAAAATTAGAGATGACAAAGTGTGTATTTCTTTTTGTTTGACTTTTTTTTTTATCCTTTATCATTATAATCTGCCCTGCTTTCGCATTTTGCTCATTGATTAATACCGACACGCATGCAACTAGCCACTCATGGATCAGCTTAAAATTTGTAGGAAATGGAAGCAACAGTTGTGGATGGTAATGGGACAGAGACAGGGCATATAATTGTGACAACCATTGGTGGTAGAAATGGTCAGCCAAAACAGGTATTCTTCTTCTGCCTTGAGATGCTATTGCAATGAGTGAGCTAGTGCAGGTTCTTCTTCCTTTGCCCCTTTTTCTTTCAAAAAATATCTTCCAAATGACATCTTCTTTCCATATAACACTATTCTCTCTAAAATTCCAGACAATAAGTTACATGGCAGAACGTGTGGTTGGACATGGTTCATTTGGAGTTGTCTTCCAGGTAAGAAACCCTCTTGTTTGTTTCTAAAAGGTGGAATACTAAACTAATCTTGGTTTGTAGGTTAGTAATGGATGTTCTTTTAAATTTAGGCAAAGTGCTTAGAGACAGGTGAAACTGTTGCTATAAAGAAGGTTCTTCAAGATAAGAGGTACAAGAATCGTGAGCTGCAAACAATGCGTCTTCTTGACCACCCAAATGTTGTGGCTTTGAAGCATTGCTTTTTTTCAACAACTGAAAAGGATGAACTTTATCTTAATTTGGTACTCGAGTATGTACCTGAAACTGTTCATCGCGTGATCAAGCACTATAACAAGTTGAACCAAAGGATGCCATTGATATATGTGAAACTTTATACATACCAGGTACAGTGTTGGTTTTCCAAAATTTGGTTTCTATTGTGTTCTTTAAATTGTTTGAGATGCTAATAAAGATTGATGCTTGGCAGATATTTAGGGCATTATCTTATATCCATCGCTGCATTGGTGTGTGTCATCGGGACATTAAACCTCAAAACCTTTTGGTATGTTCAAATATCTGTTTCTATAGTCATATCTCCTTGTTGGTTGATTATAGTAGTGCCCCTATTTCTTTGTCTGCAAAATGAATGAATTGACAAGTGTCTTTATTTTCAACATGATCTTATTGTCTTATACCTGGCAATTCAGTGACTTATTGAGGTGGGCTTTTGTTTTTTCCTCCTTGCAGGTAAATCCTCATACTCATCAGGTGAAACTATGTGATTTTGGAAGTGCAAAAGTCTTGGTATGTTGTGATATCTATTTTCTTTGACTTCCTTCTTTAAATATCAATGCTTTGATTTTGGCTTAGGTCTTACAATTTCATATATTCTTATCTTGGCAGGTGAAAGGGGAACCGAACATATCCTACATTTGCTCAAGGTATTACAGAGCACCTGAGCTAATATTTGGAGCAACTGAGTACACTACAGCCATTGACATCTGGTCTGCTGGCTGTGTCCTTGCTGAGCTGTTACTTGGACAGGTAGGAAGCTTGTGCATATGGATTCATTATTATTATTATTATTATTATTGCCTTAAATTAATCTTGATGTTGTATTAAACTTTTTATATTTATGTCAGCCTCTATTTCCTGGTGAGAGTGGAGTTGACCAGCTTGTTGAGATTATTAAGGTACATCAATTTCTGACTAATTTAGTTTATAGTGCAATGTATATATATACATATACATGTATCTGTAATACTTAAAAGAAACTTCTTTGTGTTGATTACATTGACGGTAGGACATGAGATGACATATGCATTGTCATAAGAAATTGGCATATTTATCATGTTTCCTACAAGTGCTTTTGTTAACAATAACATCATGAAATCCCTGGTTCCTTGTGGGTGTGTCATTTGGTTGGTGTACTCAAGCTACTAACTTTAGTTGTAATTACTTTGTCATTATAAATGTCATGTTTGGTATCATAATAACTTCTTTTAGTCATTTCCAACGTCAAATTGACCTGTTCTCTTTAACTGTTGTAATTATGTGACTGTTTTCTAGGTCTTGGGCACTCCAACACGAGAGGAAATTAAGTGCATGAACCCTAACTATACTGAGTTCAAATTCCCTCAGATTAAGGCTCACCCATGGCACAAGGTATTAACAATCAAAGAAAGGGTGTTCAAATGGTCATTTCCATAACCTTATCATGCAATTACCATTTTTTTTTTGTTCTAGATATTTCATAGGCGAATGCCTCCTGAAGCTGTTGATTTGGTGTCAAGATTACTCCAATACTCTCCAAATCTCCGTTGCACTGCTGTGAGTACACAAAAAACTTTATATTATATTATTTCTTACGCTTCTTGTTTCTCCTTTGTGCTTTTCATTCGATTTGCCTTGTTTTGGAGTAAGCTCCAAGGATGGAGGTTCCTTTTTCTGATGAAAAGGGAGTTGACAATGTCAGTTGAGAAAAAAGTCAGCAGTTTAAAATTCGGTATCTGTCTGGTTTAGTAGTGTGTTTGTCAACTCTTCCACTTTCCCTTGGCCTTGAGTATACATTGACGTTAATTACTCAATCAAGAAAGAGGAAAAAGTTTAATTTGTTTTATCCTTGTTTTTTCTCTTTTGGGAGGGGGGGTTGGTGGAGGTGGTGATAGAAGAACTAAAGTTATCGTGGATGCTGAGTTATGTAATTCTTTGATATGCTTCATGCATCTCATATTGCAAATGCTGCTCTTGTTGCAGCTAGATGCCTTGATCCATCCTTTCTTTGACGAGTTGCGTGATCCAAATGCCCGCTTGCCCAATGGACGTTTCCTTCCGCCATTATTTAACTTTAAATCGCATGGTAGGGAATGATTCTGTAATTTTTTCTTTATAATAAGCTTATCGGTTCTTGTTGAGATGTATGATTGATTATTATTGGTGGTGTTTGTTCTGTCCACTAGAGCTGAAGGGTGTTCCAGTAGAGATATTGGCGAAGTTGATCCCGGAGCATGCCAGAAAGCAATGTCCTTTTCTTGGATTGTGATTTGATGCAAAATGTAACCAAGTAGCAAAAAAGTGTAATATCTTATGGAAGCTGTGTTGTTCCTATATCTATGCCAATTTATTATTGTTGTATGCCTGTGTTGTGTTACCCTGTTATGTAAAAGCAGATTTAGACATAATCCTCCTGTCCAAACTCCAAAACCTATATCACGACAGATTGTAACGTCTACAGTAGATGGAAACCATCATTTACTTTTGATGTGTTGACTGTAATCCCGGAGCAGGCAAAAGATCAGTGTTTATTTGAACTTATTTCTGTTATAGGCAGCTATTTAAGCAGTTTTGGTTTCCATAACGATGCTCTGCTGCCTGGTTAAGTCTTAACGATACCGGCTTTTAGCCCACTCTCCAGACCGCCCTGTATTTTCCTGAGTGGCAATCTGGATATCCAGCCAAGGAAATCAAATGATACCACTTCATCCCGAGGCTGTAATGAAGTTTTTCTCTTCTTTTGTGGGTTCAAAAATGCTTTCAAAATAAACAAGAACTATGTTGTGGGAGTGGATCAATGAGAAAGAAGAGAAAAAGGAGAACCCAACGAGGGGAGATTCGTACAGCTCTAGGAGTTTTGATGCTACGTTCCACTTAGTTAGAAGAATACAAGCCATTGAGATTTAAAGATTAAGACTAGAAGATGGTGCGAGAATTTCCCTTGTTCCCAACCGAAACTGGTGGGAAATTTTTGATTGGTGGTTGGAAAGTAAGCACAAGGCATGAAACAGAAACAACAAAAAAGTAGCAACGAACAAGCCTAGGGAAGGCTGCTCCAACTGCATCCTGAGTTACCAGATCAACCATTCCTGGGTTTGTGATGGAAGAAAAGGCCAGGCAGTTTGTTAGTAGACAGCCTGTGAACTGAAGAAGACAAAGAAAATGCGCTGGGAAAGTATTACTGCGACTACTGCGAGAAGCAGTTCCAAGACACCCCTTCTGCTCGAAAGCGCCACCTGCAGGGTCTCCAACACCTCCGTGCGAAAGCTCAATGGTACCACTCCCAAAACGCCAATGGTAGTTTGCCAGTACTGCCACCTTACTTATCATATATATGCAACAATTGTTTATTCATCAAATGGCTGCTTTCCTTCTTTCTTCTACGATTCAATTGCAGATCCCAATCACAGTTTAACAGAACCCTTTGCAAAAGGAGTCTGCAATCGCTTCCTCAAAACGGTAAACATCCCTCTCTTCTCCAAACTCTTCTGGGTTTTCTTCATTGATTCAATTGGATTTGTTTCTTCTTTTTCCTTCTTCTAGGGATTTTGCCAGTTCGGAGATAACTGCAAATACTTCCATCCCATGAACGATTCGCGAGGCGCAAATCCTCAAGCAGCAGCTGCGCCTGGACCAGGTCATTTCCATTTTGAATTTTATTGATTCATGTTAAGCAATAGGGATGTCTAAATCATCTTAGATTTTTTATAATAGAATCTGACAAGGAGCAACAGTCTTAGTTCTAGTTTCAATGCTCAAGACAAGTAGGAACTGTAACTGTCAGGACCCTCCTCCAGACAAGTGGGAGCGTAACTGGGTGGGTGATCACCCTTTCTTTTGGCTTTTTATGGTTCTTCTCCTGCTTATTCTTTTTATCTTGCTGTGATTTACAGGTGGTGTGGAGGGAGCTGGTATTGGAATGTCGTGGGGCAATCTCCCGCCATCCCTGAAGCCTCCACCTGAGGGTGGATACCCTCCACTGCCCTTTGTGGATTGGGGATAAGTCTGTTAGACGCCAATTTTGTCAGTTGCTACTGATATGACTACTGCTGTTATACTTTTCTACTACTTGTTCTTCAATGTCAAAGCTATGCTGTTTATGGTTATGTTAGTGCATGTTAAATAAAACAATCACCTTTCTGTTTCCTTTGCTTTGTTCTCCTTCTGTATGCGATTGATTCATGAAAAAGGAAGTTTATAGCTGTACAGGAATACATGAAAGGTCTCAACTATGGACATAGGATAATGTCATCATTCAATTTTGATCAGTTCGACTCCATGTAAATACATCCTTAAAGACACAACCTTGACTTGCTCCCCACTGTCTTTGCATCTTTGTTTCTTATGGTACTGATCTTGTTCAATTTCGGTTTTTCTTTCTAAAGGATCTAGTTTATGGTATTCCTGGAGAGAATTTTCTCTCGAGTATTGTGGTAAGCCTTTCAGTTATGTCATTCCAGACTTTGTTGGCTTAAGTTGGGTTTGTCTCAGTGTAATGATGAAATTCTGTCCCTACCTGGTATGATACACCCATCCATCCCCCTCAGAATTTGTATCCAAGTTGAGTTGTTGTTCTGCAACAGAGCCTTGACCGGCCCAAGAAAGGAACCCACCACTTTGTTACCACACGTCTCATGTTCATTATCTGATATCTCAAAAAATTTTCTCCAGTAGTTTATGCCAGAAAACCTAACCACTTGCAAAGTATCATTGAAACTGTGATTTGTTGACAAATAAGAAGTAATGGTTCAATAATGCATCATATTTGTATTTGACAGAGTCATCAAGCTTTTGATTAATTTAAAAACAAAAACCAGAAAGAAGATCAAATTTCCATTATGTGAGCTATGCATGACTTAAGAAGAAAAATGAGTGTCACAATCAGAAAAATGAAAGAGACAAAAAAGCAGAAGCTATGGCCAAGCTCGACAAAAGATTCCCATTGTTAATTAAGTGCTCTTAGTCAAACATTCCTGCCAAGGAGAACAGACAAGTTGAGAATGAAAACTGCCCTTCAGATCCAAAGTGTTGCACTGCAGCTACTTGTAAACTACTCTCATTTTCCATGAATTTTGTAATTATCCTATGTTCTATATATAATGAGTGTATGGAAGCAGGTAGAGGTAGACTGTTAACTTTATGTTTATGCCCACTTGCTTATGGACTGCAATAAGAATGAAACCATTATCCATTCTCCTTATTCAATTTGCAAGGGGCTGAAGTTGAATTATTTAAGGATGCTAAAACCAGCTAGGTTAGGTTCTATCTCATTAGACAGAAGGAAGATTGAAGTGGGTACTTGGCAAAAACATGTCACTTTGAGATGCTAAGGATCTGTCATCATTAAGGCTATTTTTCAGTACTGAAACCATTATTGTAAGGCATTACCGAAGATGCTTTATGTACCCTCTTGACCCAAAACTAGGAAAAAAATTTAAAAATGGTAATCTCAAAGTGACCATGTGGATTGACGGAAAAGAAAGGAAGCTTTCTCACCACCTACTAAGTAACAGCCTCCTTTCATCTTTGATTCCAAGGTACTGTGCTTAAACTTTCATTTCTGAAATAAACAAACAGGGACAAGGGGGAGTCAATGAAGCAAATGGCAAGAGCATGCATTTCTGATTTTACTACTGCCCGCCCTCCACATTCCCTTTAGCCTTAGTTTGCTTGAATGCAGCTTCCACATTAGGCCAGCCCCTAAATGGAAAACGGAGCTGTGGTCGGTTTCGTGCCATAATTATAATCCCAGTTGCAGATTGAGATTGAGTTGACCCCAAATCCAAAGGAGCCTTCCACTGAGAATTCCTACTTTCCTAGTATAAGAAGAGACGGCTGCATTGCAACTGATTCTTTTCAGCCGTGATCTCTTTGCAAGTTGTTCTCTTGCTCCAAGTGGTAAGTGGTCACATACTCTGCTGAACTCCTTTTTACCATTTTCCACTTCCCAAAACGTGGGGACCTTGCTTCTCTGTATATCATCATCATCTCTAGGTGATGCCAAAGCAAGGTGGTGGCCTCATAGATGGCAGGGGAGAGAAATGGTGGAATCTTCCCTGCAAGCCTCAAAAAGTAATCTACATCTCATGTTCAATATTTCTGTTACTTCATTATTAAATTCCATGACTAACATAGTATATCTACTAAGCAGGGAATTAATGGAACAACAATGCCTTGTCCCTGCGATAGCCCAGTAGTAAGTACAAGACTTTTTCACCGAAAAGTAAACTACCATCAATTAATCCAGAAGATCATCCGTGCCCTTTACCTAATGGTGCAGATACTCCAGATTTCCTTATTGAACAAAGAAACGACAAAAATAAAACAGTTTTTTTTCTTTCATTTTTTGAAGATTTATCATGGGATTTTGCTCATGCAGGCTATCAGGTTTTTCATGAGCTCTAACTTGACTGTCCAAGGACTTAAGACCAAGAATAGTCCCCAGTTCAATTTCAGGTTTGATGCTTGCCATGACGTTCGTGTAGAATCACTAACAATCAAAGCACCTGCTCAAAGTCCCAACACGGATGGAATTCACATAGAGAACACTAATAATGTGCAAATATACAATTCAATCATATCAAACGGTAATTTTTCTTTATAGTTGTAATAATTCTTAAGAATGAAATACAAGCATATAATAAAGAAAGCACGTTTATTCTATAAATTCACATTTACCATCATCTTTAGGTGATGATTGCGTATCCATTGGAGCTGGTATATAAAGAATATAACTTGTGGGCCAAGTCATGGAATAAGGTAACTCATTACTAGCTTCTGTTGATAATTGTCATTGAGCTTCTAAATACCAAAGTTCTTAGGCCGGCGGAAGGTGGCTAGATATGGTTCCTATCTGCAACTCATTGATATCATTACCGTACATCAAATCTTCCAAGGTTGACATCATCTGTTCTTAGTGCAGCATTGGTAGTCTAGGGATCCACAACTCACGAGTTTGCGTTTCAAATGTCAGCGTTTCTGATTCGGTCATCAAGCATTCTGACAATGGCGTCCGAATCAAAACCTGGCAAGGCGGCTCAGGCTGTGTGTCCGGGGTTAAATTCCATAACATTCGTGCGGATGCTGTTCGTAATCCTATCATCATAGATCAATACTACTGCCTCACCAAAACCTGCAGTAACCAAACAAGTGCGGTTGTGATTGATGACATTTCCTGTAGTAATATTAAGGGCACATATAATGTTAGAAGGCCACTAGTGCGTTTTGCTTGCAGTGATTCGATCCCATGCACAAACCTGAGGCTGGCAGATGTAGAGCTGCTTCCCACCCTCGGACTGATCCTGGCAGACCCATTTTGCTGGAATGCTTAAGGAGCTGTCCTGACGCATACTATTCCACCAGTTTATTGCTTGATGGAGGAAACACCACAGCTGCTAGCCCACAATTATGCTGATAGATGTTGAATCAGATTATCATGTAAAAATGTTTAGATTAATCAACTGTGTCGAGTGATATAGATCAGGAAAAAGAAACTTCTCTTATCATGGGATTTTACATCAGCAACCTCCATCCTTTCTTTAATTAATAAAGGTTTGAAACCAATACTTTGGCTACCATTTCTATATGCCATCATGGGTTGGAATGAGTAGTTATCTACTTTCATTGAATCAATCCATGGTGGGAGGTCGGTGCACGAGATTATCTTCCCTATCACCCATCATTCTCTCTCTCTCTCTCTCTGTCCCTACAAACACTTTAGGTGGGGCTGCATCAGAGTGACTTGATGTGAGCACTCAACAACATTACTCTGATAATAAAGTCAAGCTCACAAACTATTTTAATCACTTTGTACTGCAAAGTATTGACATGGGAAGGAATTGAATGATTTGAATTTGCAGAAACAAACTCAAAGAACTGGACAACCCAGGGGCAAAGATTATAACTTTTCTTTTCTTGTTAAGTGTTCTGGACTGCTTCATGCACATTGATGGACCTATACCAATCACAGCATGAAATGACGTTAGATTAAGCTGGCTTGCAACTCATAGTGTACAACAGACAGAAATGTTTAACAAGAAACTTGGTATAAGGATTGATGGTGAAGGTGACAATGAGAAAGTGAAAGTGATCTGAAGTGTGCAAAACCTCCCCGAAAATGTGATAGTTCAATTCTTTTTTCATTTTAGCTTCTGCACTATATGAACAGATGCTTCAACCTTATTTGCAGAAGCCATTAAAGAGAGCAAACCACATGACATTAGTCATTAGTTAGAGAGATATAAGAGAGTGGAAACACAGTTGCACAACCTTAGACAACAGAGTAAGAAGATAGACTCGAACTTGAGAAGTACAGACAAACGTTCTGGTAACGGAAGCAATCTGAAACTTTATTCACATATTAACATGAAGATTCTGAGAAATTTTCAAGCAACCAAAGGAAGTGTTTAGAGAAACAAAAGAAATACATAAGGTGTATGTGCTGAAATCCATTCTTCCATTCACATACACTTATCTGTTTATTGAAGCCTTAATGCATCCTTCCATCCACACTCACATACATGGTCAACAACAGTACAACCGTATTAATTCCTGGACATAAAAATGTGAGCCGATATGGTATGTTACTGACATAGAGAAGTAAGTACTTCCAATAAGGAAGCAGAAAACTTCATTTGGGTCTCCTCATCTATGGTCAAGAAGAGAGGGACATGGACAAAGAGTGATTTGGTCCCATTCTGCTCCGCAAAGCAAAGGGAGTGATAGTAAACATAATTGCACACAAACCGTCCTGCATCATCAGAAGTCATCACCTCATAACCCTTCTTTGCTAGGGCCTTTGCAATCTCCTCAACAGGAAGAGAAGTCTGCACAGCGGTAACAGAGGAAACTCTTTAAGGATGGAGGTAAGAGATGAATCGCATATTCAAATGTATGTAATTAACCATGATAAGCAAGAACAGCTAGACTTTAAAGACATCCATACTACCTGTCGCACACGTGAAATTCCACCATCTGCAGGGATAATGGGTACTTTCTGCAAACAACACAAAACAATTAACAAAAGGAAGAAAGTTGAGAAGGAAGAGGCATGATAAATTGCAGATGCACTATGAAACGGGCAAAGGAATATATCTAACCAGAGGTTTCCATCCCATTTCATCAGGGCAACGAAAAGTAGCTTCATTCACAGCTTGATGCTCAATAGCGAATCTACTTGCACCACTATTGACTCCAAAATGTAGCTGAAGAAGTCAGAATGGACAGGAAACATGAGGTGTGAATTTATGAGGCAATGAGTTTGATTGCACCAAAGACAAGTTATTAAGATAACATCGGTTGAGAAAATCCCTAATCAATAATGCATCAAAATAGGCATCACTTATTGCAAGCGTGCTTTGTTAATGTATATAAGGTGGCAAAGAAAGCACAAAGATGGCTGGAAAATAATAGCTGATCTCAGATTACCAGATTGACTAATTTGTAAATCCCATAACATTACATTACATATGAATTTCAGCTGGCACATTATCAACATTAAATTACATAAGATTTTACCCTTTTCCCTTTTTGACATATTAATGAGAAAAGATGGGAGGCAGGGAACTATGTGAGAGCTATAATCACCCTCTAGTATGCATAAAGCAGGTAAGCTTAAAAGGCCTCCTGCCTACTTCATGCAAAGCTAAAAGGAATTATTCATAAATTGTTCACAGTTCATTGCTGCAACAGTGCTATAACAAGAGAATTCAACACCAAGAACCGGATGCACTTTCTTAATGCAGCCATGATGTTAATATGCATACATGAAAGTAAGCAATTACTACACAGTAGTAAGTGAGTAACTAACCCAAATAACTCTCCCAGAACTTGAAGATTCAGAACCCTTCCCATTTAAGGCAGATTGCAAAGTCTGATATAGCGGAGTGAGTGCTCCCTGGCCTGCAGTCTCAAGCACACTACAACTGCCGAGAATAAGACCTTTTGGCAAACCATTCTTTTTTGTGTACTCTTTCAAATTAGTAACAATTGTTTCAGTTGGATTCTCTGAAACTCCATGAAATTTCTTAAAACCAGTCACATGGATGGTTACTGCTGCTGGCCCTTCCGACCCCATCAATCAACTATTGGAATGATAGTGACAATGTGTTATCACAAGAAAATTGATATAGTTATCTAAGTACCTGCATTAAGCAACAGGAAACTTAAGTAACAGAAACAGAATGTCATAAGCTTGATGAAACAGGAAACTGGGACATCCTCCCAGTTTCAAAACCGAGAACTTTCATGGTTAACAAATTTATACTTCTAGATGGTAACAGGGGAATGAGAGCTCGAGTTTTAGCTTCTAGATGCATCAGCTCAATATTTACCCTATAGTAGTTGATCCGTCAACTGGCCTTCCGAACAATGAAACGTTCAGACACTATAATTCTGATGACTAATTCATTCCTTTTGTCTTCCAACGGATAATACTCCATAAAATTACGTGTAATTGGGAATAAAAGCTTCAAAAACCCAAATTTTTTGTAAGTCTAGATAGCAGATAGATACAGGATAAAGTAGAGAAGAGACAATTCAAGTATATGCGGGAAGACATAAAACCAAGCTGAGAAACAGAGTTAAGAAATCAAAATTGGGAGAGCAAATGGCCATAATATACTTTCCAAAAAACCATCGACGAACAATCTTAAAATCAGACAAACCGATCTAAGACTAAGACCAATCAAATGAACATCAAACTAAATCATTGAGAATTTCTCCCAACAAAGCTTAAAAGCCAAGCCAAGATAGAAAATTGATCAAATATCCAGATGGACAAAGACCTGAAAAAGAAAACCCAGAAATTCTACCTGAAAAGCAAAGGCCCGGGATTGCAACTTGTGAAATGAAAAAATTGACCATTAAAAAATAAAGAAGTTTTGCTCACCTGTAATGTTGACAAAAAAAGGGCAAGAGAAGAAAAATGAAATGACTCAACCACTAGTCTTATCTAATCTAAAGATGATTTAAACACAAAGACTGGACTGATGATAAAGGTTCCCACTTGATTATAAAAAGAGAGAGAGAAAAGGAAAAAAATTATAATATAATATTTATATGTTTGTTTAGATTACCAAACGTGGTAGCTAGTGGGGGTCACTTTCAAAGAAAAAAACCTGTATTTATATTATTAACCAAAATAAAAGAAACTGTGTCTACATTACTGGTGATGAAGTTTTGATTGATGCTTGATGGTCATCGGGCATAGGACCGAGTTAAGTTACACGATTGTGTACATACAACATAGCATGGCAATTTGTAAACTGTAAAAAAGGGAAAAAGGACCAGACCTTCTGTTTCTGTCTTGTCTCTTGTGCCTTCTTTTATCCAATGACATGTCGTCTAGTTTGCTGTGCATGGCTTTGGCAGATACTGCATGCTACTTATGTTTGGGGCCGGGGTGGGAAATATTCTTTTTTTCTATGCCTATTATAAAGTACACTGCTTTTGGACTGCCTTTTGCTAGCGTGACATGTGGGGTTTTTTTCCCCTGTTATGCCATGTAGTAAGAATTTGATCAACCAATGTTTAAAGCCTCAACATGATAAACAGTAATACTTGGTTTACAAAATGAGGTCAGAAACATTATTTGATAATCAAAGCCATGGGAATGGGAGTGTTTGTGACACTTAAGATTCTCCATTCTACTCATTTTTTATTTCTGCCTCCATTCCTTATGGCCTTTGGATACCATGGCAGCACATCTCGAGGGACAAAACAAGTGTATTTGTTGTTTAACTTGTTTTCCCCTGCCTGCCTTAAGGAATTCCTTCCGTTCATATAATATAATCCTATGTACACCTATGTTTGAATAAAAAGAAAAGGGAAAAAAAACCAGTGGATACGCAAAAGAGTTTCCCAGGAGGGTGAGCTGTTGATATCCAATGTAACAAGCTAAGCTAGGCTACTATCTGAGCTCATTCTTTGATAACAATAATAATACTAATAATACTGGGTTTGGTGCATCTGTCAAGGGATTAAACCCACATCCACATTGGAAGACAAAAAGGGTCGATGAAAAATTGTTCATTTGATTTCGTATTTGGTTTCCGAGCAGTGGGAAAACGATTGCGTACAGTTGGTCTATGATCTATAAAGAAGACATCGGGCTGTCGACAACAAGCCCAAATCCCTGCTGACACTTTTTGGGCCAAACTCAGCTCGAAAGACTTATGACAACCCCGTCTGCAACTGGGAAGTGCCGTGTCCTCTTTGACTTCCCAGTATGGTTCCTTGCTTCCTGCTTTCAGGTTCCAAGGGGCAGATGACAAAGTTCGGAAAGTGAAAACGTACCGAAACAAAGATAAACCCAGAACCAGACAAGAGACAACGACTCCATCACAAATCCCTAGAAAGCATTGATTAATGTCATCATATTCAGTCTCACCCTTTCAGAACCGTTCATTTGCTTACTTTCACTCACAGGCTTTTGATCTTCTGCATCGAAAACCACTCCACTCTTAGTTTCGCTCATCCTGGAACTTGCCTTTGAGCTTGAAGTACAAAAAAGTTTTATAATACAAGCTTAAAAACCCCGAACACAAGCTCCAAATAAAACAAAGAAGAAGGATGTCAGTTTCATTTTCACATTTCTCGATACCCATCTCAGAATCTTCAATTGCTCGATCTATTTCTCTCTTCCCCGTAAGCTTCTATATTCCCATCCCATGTATACTTCTATTTTTGTTGTTCGGGAAAGTGTAGGAAAGTAGACTACTCTCTCTCTGTCTCTCTCTCTCTGTAATTTAGCACTAGCCTTATGCAAATACTGATTTCACTTATTAGTTGAGAAGCTAGAGATGAATTGAGGTTTCACTTGTAGAGAACAGAGAGGTCAAATCAAACAAAAGGATCAAACTTTTGTATGCTTTTTTTGGTCCCTTTGTCTTGATGGGTACCCTTTTCAATTCTATATTACAACCTAATTGAATATGATCATCTGTAATATTTTCAGCCAAATTTGTATGCTTTCATTTGAAATTTTACCTGGCATGGACAACACATTATATTCAACAGTTGGGTTGCTTGAAAACTTAAGCACATGGAAAGTTTTTGAATTGTGTAGAAATAGATCTTTAATGATCGATTGAACTCGATCCTGCCTTCAATTTTTTGTGTGCATGTGTGTGCTAGTACATATGAATACACAGTCAGTCCCTTAGACAAGTCACATGAATTGCAGCTCAAATGGGTTTTTGCTTACTATTTGATTTTAAAACATTATTTTGAATCATTTTTTAGTTAGAGAACATATTTGAATGTATAAGAGTCAGCATCCTATAACTTGATTATGTTGCATGTAGGATGCAGCCAACAGGTTCCGATCATTGAGAGGCAGTCGGCTTGTGCTCTACGTAGGAGCTGGCAATTTCTGCCGGAGGTTTTTTGGTTTGAAACTACAGATGCTGAAGAGGCTAAAGATTCAGCAGCGAAATAGAAAGCGTGAACCTGCAAATGAGTTCAAGAGCATAAGAAATCAGGACAAGGATCAGTCGGAAAATCCTTTGAGAAATTTAGCAAATGATGAACTATTTTCTGAAGCAGCATCAACCATATCTTCGCTCAATGGTTGGGAAAAAAAGAAGCTACGTTATGTTATTCCAGTTTCTTGAAGTTGGTTTCTTTCATCATATATGTGACAATTTTTATCAGTCCCTTTTTAATCCTGTCAACTTTGAACATTGTAGATTTCACAGAAGAACATACAAGATCAACTTCACAACCAAAAGAAAGTTCTTTGCCTAGTTCTCAAAATGTTATCTCGAAAAAGCCAGACGCTTCTTTGGAATTGCCTTCCTCTTTCGTTCAAACACATTCCTTAAATTTGAATGTTGATGATCATCATAGAGGACCCTCTCTGTGCATTGCTGTTATAGGAGCTACTGGTGAACTTGCTAGGAAGAAGATTTTTCCAGCATTATTTGCTCTATATTACAGTGGTTTTCTTCCTGAGGTAGTGCTACTCTAATATCTAATGAGTTGGGTTTCCTATTATCAAATAGCCCATCCGTTTCTTCAGGATTTTATTCTTTTCAAATCATTAGGCTTATTATTTGGATTTGGGACTGACCAAGAATTAGGATCTCCTTGTGTTGAATAGATACATCAATAATATGAATTAAGTTCTTTCTTTCCCATGAATAACAATATCCGTGCATGTTGGTAATGTGGTGAATGTTTCTCATTCTTCAATTTATCATTTACATGACTGCAGAATGTTGGTATCTTTGGTTATTCCAGAAAGAATTTGACAGATGAAGATTTAAGATCCCTCATTGCTTCAACTTTGACTTGCCGCATTGATCATGAGTATGGTCCTCACCCATGTTACATTATGGTACCCTCTGTGAAATCATTGTCTTCAATTATTAATCCTTGTATTTTACAGTTTCTATAATTTTCAAATGGAGTTTGGTTTTTAGAGCTGCATTATGTAGTTTATTCCTGATTGAAAAGGTTTTAGAAAGTGATAGGAAAGAGAAGGGTGAAGGGATGGAAAAAGATATACTCTCTATCAACTAATTGGAAGGAGGCAGTTCCATCGACTTAGTAGATTTGTTTATTTATTCATTCTTTTTTGATGGATCAGGCAGTTACCTAACCATATGCGTGTTGCTTTTATTTCGCTGACAACTTGCGGAATGATGAGCAATGCATGTATGGTGGAATGATTTTAACACAATTTCAACAAGAATGTGTCGCTCATGTGTTAGCGGTGGACAGGACTGTAAAAGCTTAAACCCTAGAAACTTGTTTTGGATTTCAACCAACCAATTTCTTGTTGAGAATTTGAATTTCTTCAGATTACTTTGACTCTTAGAGTTCAGAAAATCATAATTGCATTTGCTCTTGCCATAGTTAGCTATGTATGAAACTTGTTCAGATGCTACATTAATCATCAATAATTTACTGGTCCCTTTTTTTTCCTTATCTTTTTCTTCTAATTTCCTTTTCCAGGCAAAACTGTGAGGACAAGATGGATGCGTTTCTTAGTAGAACATACTACCTTAATGGAGGTTATGACAACAAAGAAGGGATGTCTAAGCTGAATGCTCGAATGGAGCAGATTGAGGTAAGCAACACTTAGAATTGTAGGTTTTCAACTTAGATGCATTTTGTTTGTCCTTCTAATCTTCAAATTGAATGCTTTGGAATTTTGATAATTGATTCTTTAACAGCTTATCTGCTTCAGGAGGGATATCGTGCAAACAGGATATTCTACCTTTCTGTTCCACAAGAAGCACTTCTGGACGTTGCTTCCTCTCTTGCCAATAATGCCCAAACAAAGAAGGGTTGGAATCGTATAATAATTGAGAAACCTTTTGGATTTGATGCTCTATCTTCTCAATGGTTTACAAAATCCCTTCTTTCTAATTTCGAGGAGAAGCAAATTTACAGGTGCATGCATATGCATGTTGTTTGTCCTTCTATGTTAACAAACTGTTCAAACCATTATCACATAATTTATACTTTATCATTACTTTACAATTTACATCAATCTTACTACAGGATAGACCACCTCCTCGGGAGGAACCTTATTGAAAACCTCACAGTTTTAAGGTTTTCAAATCTAGTTTTTGAGCCATTGTGGAGTCGGACTTACATCCGCAATGTGCAGGTAAACTTGGTTTCAATGTAAATGCTGTTTGCCCACCTGTGCTTTTAGGGACGCAATGCTGTTGATTACATCTTTGCATTATTTTTGCAGGTGCTTTTGTCAGAGGACTTGGGTATGCAGAGTGGAAGGTACTCATAATCATTTTTCCTTTCTGTCTCCAGCAAAGAGTATTACATCATCCTAATTATTCCATTCATTCTTTAATACAGGTATTTTGATGGTTATGGGGTCATTCGGGACATTGTTCACAGTCACATGCTCCAGACGATAGCATTGCTAGCCATGGAACCACCTATAAGTCTTGATGGTGAAGATATTCGAAATGAAAAGGTACCCATCTTTTCCTTGTGTGAGAAGCACAACTTGAAAGCACCTAGTCTTTTTAATGAGAAGCTTCTTTTCAGGTCAAGGTTCTCAGATCAATTCGCAAATTGGACCCTAGTGATGTGATTCTTGGCCAGTACAAAGCTACTTCTGGAGAGAGGGTTGATGTGAGCTTGAGCAGCCTGACCCCTACCTTTTTTGCTGCTGCATTATACATTGACAATGGACGTTGGGACGGTGTACCTTTCTTAATTAAAGCTGGTGTGGGACTTATCAAACACAGGTGAGATATAACAAATACTCTATTCAATTTTGTTTTTTTTATGGAATAACTACTAGTGTTCTATGGCCACATCTGAAGATATTTTTTTGGAGGAGCAGTATACATTCTCTGAAATGATAATGCTTCAATAAATGTCGAATAAATTACTAATTTTAATAAGTTGCAGTAAAAGCTTTGCTGTAGTTGATGAATTCTGTATTCAAAAAATGAATCTTTTCTGGGGTCTATATCGGGTTTGTTGGTGTATGCGTACAGATGTCTTTTGGCAACATATGATAGTTGCTGTTTCCAGAAGCTAATGCTTAATGTTTTAAATATTGACATTTTTATTTGCTCACCGACGTTAGATTATGTTATGCAGAGTGGAGATACGTATACAGTTTAATCATGTTCCTGGAAATCTCTATCGTGAACGATTTAGGCATAATACTGACCTCGCGACCAATGAGCTGATTTTACGTGATGTACCTGATGAGGCCATCCTAGTTAAAATCAACAATAAAATTCCAGGACTAGGGTTGCAGTTAGATGCTTCTGAGCTAAATTTGCTTTACAAGGACAAGTGAGCACTCATGTTGTTTCTTCTTATAATTTTCACACTGACGGCAACTTATCTTTGATGTTTCTCATGCTGTGTTATTGTTTCTACTAAAGGTATAACGTTGAGGTCCCTGATTCATATGAGCATCTTCTGCTTGATGTCATTGATGGTGATAATCATCTCTTCTTGAGAAGTGATGAGCTTGCAGCTGCATGGAGTATTCTGACTCCTGTTCTACAAGAGATAGACCGGAATAATATAGCTCCGGAGCTGTATGAGTTGGGAGGCAGAGGCCCAGTTGGAGCATACTATCTTTGGGCTAAACATGGGGTTCGGTGGGCAGACGACTAAAAAAGGTAAAGCCTTTGCTGTTTGAGATAATAAAACACGTTATTTGGCATAATTGTGCGGTCATTCCACCACCACTCCTAGTATGGAAGAAAGCTTTGTATACGTAAATCATGTAAAAAGTATAGTATCTTATGTATCTGTCTGTTTGGTTTTCTGCTATACCTCAAAACCCGCAGATTTGGGTGTAAAGTGCTCAGCTTTTGGAGCAGCTGATTTATTCCTCGGACTCCTATGTGGTCAAGATCCTAAAACTGCTGTCGCATCTGATACTTTGTGTTATGTAATGATTCATGTGTTCTGTTTCCAGAGCATCAGACTGATGCAATAGTACAATGATGGAGAACCTGTCAGTTAAAGTGGGGCAAGGTTTTCTTTGAAAGAGTGGTAAATACCAGAAAAAGAAAGAGCAGAGTTCCATCTTTGCTCGTTTTGGATGGAGAAAATTAGCCACATCCTGCGCCGGTTGGTTGCAAGAGAGGGTCAAATGGATCATTTATATCACAACTAGTCAAGCAATGTACATACTTTTAAGATCAAACGAGAGTCATGTGAGTTCTTCTCCCCCATGATCATCCTTTCAGGTTTTGCTCAATGGCCCCCTGCTTTGATTATTCATTCAGAGCTAAATATATCAGGCAGGGAGCTTTGATGGGTTAAACTTGTCTTGCATTTTCTGTTTGATTATCCAAAGATATTTTGGATGCAAAGGTTTCATCATTAAATCTGTCGTGCCTTTTCTGTTCACGTTATCTTTAATATATGATCACTGTCACCCATGCCAAATGTTCTGATGAGATTTGAGAGCTAATTATGGCTTAGAGGAAGGTTTTGAAGAGTCAATGTTGGGGTTTTCATTGATCCTGGAAACTAAATATCTTCTCCTAAGTCTCTATTTTGGGCAGCGAAGATACATGACTATTATAGAAATATCTCTAAACACCAATTAAGCACTGTTGTTCAACAGTAATCGTGCATTTCAAAATGTATACCGAGATTGATGATGGATAAGGCGAGAAATCTTAGACGTACATTTTTAATAAAAGATCACGATTTACATCAACTTGATTTAAAGTTTGACTTCATAAATTTAGTATGAATATTTAAATATTCAATTTTAGTCTAACATAAAGCCGAGTCAATATTGAGATTTAAAATTTGATGATCATCAAAATCTGATGACCTAATGGATTCCCGAAGGTGAACACAGCCGCCAGGAAGAGCCGAGGGGGGCAGCATTGCGGATGTCATACCGAAGGCGTCAGCTGGAGTTGATTGGAACATTACGTTATGGCCACTGACGTGAACAAATTATTCTTGTCACCCACCCAAAATATATGTATATATATATATATATATATTCCTTGTTCACTTCAATGTACGAAATCAC